AAAAAAGGGACTTTTTATTCACGTAGATTTTGGAGAGAACCCCTCATGTAATACCTGTGGGCGCTTTTTCCTCCAAGTTTCAAACTCTTTTCTTCCCCACCAACCCCACCCCTGTCAATTCTGGCTAAAGTTTTGATGATTGGCTTAATCATCACAGAAAGGCATTATCCCTCCTCTCAAAGTAATAAAAAATAATTTGTGTTTCATGCTGTCTATAAGAAAAAGTGATGGAGCTCATACCAACCATTTTTTTTAATTGTGCAAATGCCAGTATCTTATTGTTACAGGAAGGATATAACAAAAAGGAGATAGAAAAAATGAAAAATCTTATTCCTGTGTTCAATTTTGATAGAAGTGAACATAATGAAAAATATAGCAACAGTCTTGAGCATTTGAAAGATTAAATGTTTCAACAGACCATCAACTGAACACATTTAGATTACTGTCTCTGAACTCCTTCTTGTATTACTTTTTTCAAATTGAGAGTGTGTGTCTCTGCTTGCATTTTGGGGGGTGCACATCAAAGGAAAAGCAGAGATTTAAACAAATCATCCCCTTTTCCTTTGACGATCAGTTTCCTTACCTCTACCTAGAAGAACTGAACTAGAGTTTACATGAATTTAGAATGGAAAGTAACATGTTCTACCCTTAGTTTATTGCCAGAAAAAAAAGATAATTTGGAATTATGGTAATTATTAATTACTGGTAATTATGCCCACACATAATGACACTCCCACAAATTTTCAGTGTACTAAGAAAACTCAGGCCCTCTCTGGCGGTGCATCGGGTTAAAGCACAGCACTGAAAGCTGGCTGCGCCCGCTTCAGTGTGAGTTTGATCACAACCCCGGAGGTGATCCACATGGCACAGCAGACCTCTCCTGACCTGCCTGCTGCACCCCTCAGCAGTGTACTTCATCAATCTGCCTGTTCTGCTCCCCACTCTGTCTTCTGGTGCTTCTCACCTCCCCTGCACCTCTAGTCTGTACCCAGTTCTGTGTACATAAATAAATAAACCTTTAAAACAACAACAAAAAAGAAAACTCAGCTTTTCTAAACGCGTATCTTCAATTATTCTACACGTTCCACAGAATTTTCCTTATTAGCACAGAGACAGGTAGTTATTCTATATTCTATATTCTAAAAATCTGCCATGGGGAGCTGATGAGTTAGAGTATGTCCAATCTACCCTCGCTCAGCTTGCTTGAGCATCCTGCCCTGGCCTTTCTCTCTGGTACATGGCCAACATGTCTTTTCTCTGTTCCCTATCTCCACCCAGGGGTTAGGGCTGCCCTCCAATTATCCTGAGTCACCAATGCCAATGTACATTTGTTAGCTGTACTCACTTCTATCAGCACAGCCACTTGACTCATTTCAGCTCAAGGACAAATATACCCCTTGCTCCCAGCAAGGAGCTTTCTAAGCAAGCCCACCAGCGTCATCAACAGGGGACTATATAAAACTGACTGAGACTTTGGTGCTAAGGAAGCACACAGAGATAGGAAACGGATATTCACTAAAAATGGTTAGCAGAAGGGGAAGGATTCTACTGTCTCCAGAAAGCTAGAAACTTCAGCAGTTGTTTGTGTAAGCAGCTAGTGCTGAGAAATCTGAGAAGCAGGTTTAAATCTGAAAAAGTATGTCAGTGGCTTCATCAGCCATTGTTTCTGCCTGGCTGTGAAGTTGCTTCCAGTAATGACCTGGGTAACATTTGGTCTGGATAGCTCCATTGTCCTCACTAAGAATACTCAGTAAAGCGACTTTCGCAGAATATTGTGAAATGATATGACTCAATGCCCACTAGTTCCCCGAAAATCTACAGAATTTCATGGCTCCTTAAAATGTTGTAATAATTTGTGATTTTTCAGAAGAGAGGGCCAAAGTCTCTAAAACATTCTAAGTATTCTAAGAGACAATAGCATTGTGACCTACCTAATGTCTTTTCACCACAGTGCCATGGGATCTAACAAACTGAGAGTAGAAACAAGTGGAGTCGGGGAGGAGGACTGGTTCCACTGATTCTACTTTGAAATGGTCAGCAATTTACCATGAGAATAGTCCTAACATAGCCAAACATGGACGAATCCTCTTTGAATTCTACATTCACTGTAGCTGAAGGGGACCAAGGAGACATAAATACAAAGGCTGAGTCAATACAAAACATGTATTTCTCCAAAATGTTTCCAGCAAAGTGAATTTTCTCCCAGGAATAGAAAGATCATCCATAAGAAATAACTGGGTTGTCAGGCCCTCTCTGGTGGCCCAGTGGGTTAAAGCACAGCACTGAAAATGAGCCGCAGCCACTTCAGTGTGAATTCTATCCCCTGCCCCGGAGGTGACCCACATGGCATAACAGACCCCTCCTGACCACCCACTGCTCCCCTCAGAAGTGTATTACGTTCATCTGCCTGTTCTGCTTCCCACTCTGTCTCTGGTGAATTCTCTCACTGCTCTTGCACCTCTGGCCTGTACCCCAGTTCTGTATGTCTAAATAAATAAATAAATCTTAAAAAGAAAGAAAAAATTGGGTTGTCGAAAAAGGTACAACATAATTTTTCTTTGAAAAACAGGTCATGATTTACCTGACAATCCAATGTGTTAATATATTAATAGATATCACCGTTATTTTTCTCCTCAACACAATGTTGATGAAAATGTAAAAAGTGAGGAGACATTCTGGGTTCATGCACTGACAGACACACAAAGATATCTGCTCTTCTTAAACTGATATACAACCCCATCCTTTTTTTGTTATACACAAAACTATTCCAAAGCTTACATGGATTGGCAAAGGCCTTTTGTTACACTGGAAAGAAAGAGTAAGGTGGTGGAGGGGGGTGCTAGGCTATACCACTTCAAGTGGTAGCACAAAGTTACGTCAGCCAAAACTGGACGTGAGGCAAAGGGCAGACACATAGATCAATGTAACAGAAGAAAGGACCCAGAAACAGAGGCATATGCTCTTCAGCATTTGAGTTTGAAGAAAAATACTCTTGAATCGATCAGATGATGGTGGCTCTTTGAAAAAGTCAGGAAGAGAACAGCCATGTTCTCATGCAGGTAGAGGAAGCAGGAAGCAGGAGGAGTTACAGAAAACAGCAACAGGTACAGCGCAGAGAGCCCAGTAGACAAGGAGCAAAAGAGAAAGGAAGAGAGAGAAAACGACTTTCACCTCTAAGTTCCAACTACTCCTAGACATTTCTCAGCCTTGTGTGTGTGCATACACACACACACACACATATAAATAAAAGAACTGGGGTGTAGGCCAGAGGTACAGGTGGTGAGAGGATTCACCAGAGACAGAGTGGGAGCAGACAGGTGTATCCACTGAAACACACAGGTAAGACAGAAGAGATTTGCTATGGTGTGTGGGTCAGCTCCCATGCTGGGGATCAAACTCATGCCATAGTGGTGATAACACTGAATCTTAATCCCTGCACCACTGGGGAGGCCCCAAGATACCTCATTCTTTCCTATGAATCCACTTTATCTTTGAGCTAATTAGAAAGGGTGGCACTCTCCACTCCTTCACTGTGGAAGGACATCCCTGTTGAGGGAAGTAACTTCCATGGCTTCCTGTGCTTTGTCAAAACCTCACAGGCAAGCTCTGTTGGCCAAGCATCTCATTTTCAGATTGCTGGAACATGGGCAATAGCAGTATTCTGTATGTTTGCTGTGCAGAAGCAAGAGAGAAGGCAGGCACAAACTTCTATAGAAATGATGATCCCATGACTAGTTTGAGGAGATGAGGAAAACTGGGATCTTTCAGAGTGCAAAGTGATCATGAAACAGAAAGGATTTATTTGGCTTGACTTCCATGAAAAATGGTCACTGACTTGTGTCCCTGAATGATGAAACATGAATATTGGGACTAAGGAATAATTTCTCTTGATAAATAAACCATTAAATACCATACCCAAAAACTAATTACAAAGGGGATCTGTTTGTGATTGCCAATGCCCCAGGCTACCAGCAATCACTTACAAAGACTGAACTACAACTCAGAAGTAATTCATCAAACTAAAAAATATACCAAGATTTACTGAGAATTTCGACTTCCAGGATGGCCTTTATGTTTCCTCACAGAGAATGACAGAACAGTGATATCAGGGGACAAAGAAAGATGATGTTCAGTTTTTGAATGAGATTCAGAATTCTAAGATGGCATATAAAGACTAGGGACATATAGAGAGGCAATAAATCCAGGGCTTTATAGACACAGGCATATGTGTCAGAGAATCGATGACCAGGACCAGACACTAGTTGTATGACCAAATCACTCTTGACAAGCCACATTTAGTTATTTTGAGGGACACAGTGGCAATACCCATTCCACAGGACAGCCCCAGCAGTGGACATTCAGGATAGCACTCTACACAACGGATTTACTCAACACTGGAAAGAGCCAATTGATGTTAATAGTGCTGTGTTTTGATTTTGTTATCTGTCATTTGGAAGTATTTTAGAGAAGGTTTATAGATATAGATGTTAAAGTACTACTTGTTAAAATTTCCTAACTCTATTTCAAAGGTATCAGATTTTTTCACTTTCCACATGAAGTCACATGAACACCACATGAAATAATTTACATGATTTAAATACTATATAAACATCAATAACTATCCATCATTTTTGTCTCTCTAAAGTAGCAGCAATGAGTTTGAAAAATTCTATTCTGACCAACTAATTTCCTTTCACATTTCTTTGCAAAATATAACATCTCAGCAATGGTTAGGTTTATGATAGAAATCTGCATTAGCAGAAGTAAGGATACAGATCAGTTCTATTTTTCAAGTCTTTGATAATGGGCTATAAACAACTACAGAACTTAAGACTTTGTAAAAAGAAATCAAAATGCATTGGATCACTGTACAGTATGCATTTGTTTCAAAAGTGTTATATAATGATCAATCTGTATTCTGCTAAGTATTGCTAGATAGCCAGGTAAATGCAACTTATTGTGCAATATTTAATTGAATTAAGCATAGCCATTTAACTCACCTACCATGCGTCCCAAGAATGCAAGGCAATTGAAATCCAGGTTTCCATTTGTTACAGTTCACTGCTATGAGTTTTCCTGCCAAACAAAATGAAATGAAAAGAGGTTACATAGTCAAGCCTTCTTTTATTTCTTAAAGCTCATCAATATGTAATCCCTGGCGAGTTCACTTTCTCAGTTTGTACACCAAGCCTTCACTCATGTGAGGATCACAGTTCAGTGAATTATGTAAAAGACCGCTTGCCATCACTCTCTCCCCTCCCGTCACCCAAAGGGTGATAATCTGAATTAGGCTGTCAATAGGCAACATCCCCCACCACCACCAACACACACAAAAAAGTTAAAGTAAAAAGCAGGGTGGGACAGTTTAAAGTGCGACAGAAATATTCAGAGTTGTTTGTTTTTGGCAGAAAAAATATATACATAGTTTGGAAAACAGGTAATATTGCCTAGGACTACAAACTTGGTGGTGGTGGTAGGAAGAACTTCAAAAAGATTTTATGTAGCAGGCTAATTGCAATAATAACTGTCCAGTCTCTTCTCACTAAATCAAGCAACCTCCCGGCCATTTCCTAAAATTAATCATCCAGGCCACATCTTGATCCTGTGTCAGCCCATCCAGTCCTCCTCCAGTCCATCCTGGTGCTCTTCACCTCCATTTAAGTTTCAAGTCTAGTTTGTTCCTGCAGTGCTCAAACCAGTATTGGGGGAGGCATTCAGCAAGGATGAAAGGGTCTGGGATTTTATAGAAGCTCATAGATTGTGAAGTACATGAGTTATGGAATGAAGAAATAAATGGGTGACTGATAGCAGATGGATGGGTAGACAAATAATGAATGAATGGATGGAGAGCTGGATAAACATTGGTGAATGAACAGTGAGCCTGACTCCAGCTGAATGAACTAGTCTGTAGTCCTACAAAAATCAAAACATAGGTCACTCAAAGTAAATACCCAACACCCTAAATTTTTAAAGGCTTCTTACTTTTATTGTTCTTCATATTCAGGGTACCAGAGAAAAATCGTTCTCTGGAAAATTATCAAAGAAGGAATGTGGGGGAAAAACACTTTTTTAATTCAAAAAACAGTGAACAATATACAAAGCTCTATACAAAGAGAGTAGAGATCAATTGATGTTATCATCAGTGCACTTAAACATAGCTTCTAAAAATGAGACACTGATGAAAAGGAGTTTAAAAGCAGTTCCCTTTACACCATTCTAAAGTAGTTGATGTTATTTCATTTTTTTCTCCTCTGAGCTTTCAAAATACTCATGCTGAGATACAGAGATTGTATTCAGTTTGTGAAATTAGTGACATAAAGCTTCTCCAGCCACCCCTATTATCTAGCACAGACGCTAAAGCAGAATTGAAATCCTATTATATATATTGCATTAAATTGGTTCCCAGCGGGGCATCTTAATTAAGATGTGCTTATTACCTGGGTCCAGATTAAGTGGCATGGACTGTATCACAGTCTTTATAATCAGACAGAAAACAGGGTTAGCCCAGGCCTGATTTGCTAATGAAGGCTAATGGCCCGTTGCCTTCATGGTACGATTGTGGTGGGGGACTTTTTAATACCACACCAGACACTGTTTTAATTTAACGCTAAGAATGCACATAACCTTATCGCCCTTTCTTAAGTAAATACTTGTAGGTTTTTTAGCATTACTCTCCTAAAGAGATCTGTGCTTCAGACCTTTACACCGTATACTACAGAAATTAGCAACATTGGGATTTTTTTCCTAATTGGACTCCTTTAATTGCTAATACCCCCCTAAACACCCATGACATCATGCTCCCACATACCCTGCAGATAAACTCTGCCAATCTTCACCTCCCTTTTCAATCTATCCAGAATTCTCAGAACATGAATCTAGGAGAGCCTAAGAAGCTATTTATGATCACAAGTCAAGGATGAATTGCTAGGATTCAAAATGGCTAAGAGATTGAGCTCCAAAGTTCCAAGCAGAAATATATGCCCTTCGTTATACAGGAGAATTTCTATCCATATACTTTTGTAGTTTTGCAATGTCCTTTAAAAAAAAAAAAGAACTTTACGGGAAGTCCTATCTTTCTACTGTGATAGGCATCTAGATGCAAAGGAAAGAAAGGAGCTAGCCCACTTGATTATAAAAAGTAAGAAAACTACCTGATGAAATTAAGCAGAAGCTCTCTCATCCAGATAAACCCCGCTGTTCCACTCCCATCGACCTGTAAATAAAATCCTCCTGAATTTCTCCCTTCAGTGCCTAGGAAACCCACATGAATTAAATATTCAACTGCGTAACAAAGATCCTAGGAAACAGTCCATCAAACACCTTTAAAATCAGCACTGCTCAAAGAGTCAGCATAGTTATATAAATATTTGATGAAGGGGACTCAGTTATTGGTGCTGCAATAATTATACAAATTGCAATGGTAATCCTCACTATCAATAATACCTTTAGCGGAAATGGCATTATATACTTCACTCAGGGAGAATAATAACAATATTAACACAGTACCGACATTTGGCAAGCCAGTAACTCCCAAGCTGGGCTCACTTGGCAATCAGGATAGCAAGGAACCTTAGCAAACACATATTTTTTTGGCTGTCGTTCAGTTACTGGAGTGTCAGAAAATATTTGGCATTTAATGCTATGCAAAGTGTTGTTCCCGTTTGATTGTTGTATACTATATAAGCCTTGGAGCATGACATGAAGTAATTTAACAACTGGAATAACAGGCATTTGGGACAAAACTAATTTCATAGGAAGGCTGATCACAGACACTCAACTTGTTCATAAAAATGTTACCTTGTCATATAATACAAAGTTGAAGATCAAGCTATGAAAGGAAAAATATAACCTCAATTCTTAGAACATGAAGTCTGTTTCTCATAATAGCGTCATCTTAGTCTAAATAGCAAGATGTGTCTCTATATTTCTTGCTGTCTCTCTCTGCCATTTCCAGGAAATGGGTAGCTGAGTTACTAAGCTTGCCAAAGCTTTAGTGAGATCTTCCCCACGCTCTTGTCTCACAGAACAGCTCTTCACTTCTTCCTGATCACCAATAAAAGGTGCCAAGGTATTCTTTTAGTGGGTTTTTTTTTTTTTTTTGGCATGGAAGAAATAAGGGGCAATGGGTGTTAGTTCAGGTTTATGGGAGGGTGAGATGATTCCCCAGAGACAGAGTGGGGAGCAAATCAGATGGATCTACTGAAATCCAACGCTGAGGGGAGCAGTGGGCAAGACAGGAGAGGTCTGCATTGCCATGTGGGTCAGCTTCCTGGCTGGGGATCAAACTCAGGCCTTAGTGGTGACAGTACTGAGACTTAACTCATAGGCCACCAGGGAGGCACCCAAAATATTCTTATCAGAATCTCTGACACAGTACCAAAATAAATAAATAAGCACACAAGTGAACAAGGCAGAATAAGAGACACTTTGGAAGATGAGTCTATTTTCTTTTCCTAGATAATTAATGCAGGATCTTCCCAGCAATTAAGTTGCTTTCTGTTTGTACATTTCCAAATTCACCCCCCTTTCGGATCTATTACAGAGGAGACATGTTCATTACATGTTCTCCCATGCTCACCCACTCCACAACTGCTCTTCAATAGCGCATCTTCTCTGCACTAACGGTGCTGCTTGTCACTGTCAGGGACTGTTCCTCTTTCACAGAACCATGACAGTGATAGAATCCTGCATCTTCTGCCTGGAGTTGAGCAGAGGATTGAGTGTGAGAAAAAGTCACACTTTCCTTTACTGCCTTTTTTTTTTTTTAAAGGCCTGCCAAGATATCAGAATTCAGTGAACTTTTGAAGGTGAGACCAGAACATGAGTTTCCAAATAAATTCTATTTTTGTAATAAATTTTCTTTTTTTTTTAAAGATTTATTTATGCATACAAGAACTGGGGCACAAGCCAGAGGTGCAAGGGGTGAGAGGACTCACCAGGGACAGAGTGGGGAGCAGAACAGGCAGATCTACTGAAATACACTGCAAAGGGGAGCAGTGGGCAGGTCAGGAGAGGTCTGCTGTGCCATGTCACAGGAAGGGATTGAACTTGTAGGCCTGGGATTAAACTTGTGCTGCAGTGGCTGAAGACAACTTCATAGTGCTGTGCTTTAACCTGTTGCACCAACAGGCAGGGTCCCAAAAATATTCTATCCCCACTCACAACCACCTAATTCATGCCAGCACCATCCTTGACCTTATTGCTATCGTCTTTTGCTTGGTCTTTCTACTGCTCCTGTTGCATCCTTGCTCTCGTTCAGCAATGAGCAGGATGTTAAAAGATGTATGCATTCAAAATATCACACATAAAACAAAATAAGCAACAGTGAAAATAAACTAAATTCATGGTATATAGTATATAAATATAGAATGCCTCTGTCTCCCAGTGCAAGGTACACATAAAGAGACAGGAACCAGGGTCTTGGTCTAATTTAATCCTTTGTATATTCCTGTCACTTTACCAGTTTCAGACACTATGTAGAACTTAAATATGCATTTGCTGAATTAATTTAATGATGGGCTATTGCTTACCTTTGTTTTCTGATCTCATTAAAAAGTTCTATATCTTGGGACCTCCCTAGTTGCACAACAGGTTAGAACACAGTCACTTCTGTGCAAATTCAATCCCCTGCCCTGGAGGTGACCCACATGGCGCAGCAGACCTCTCCTGACCGGCCCTCTGCCCCCTCAGCAGTGTACTTCATTGGTCTGCCTGTTCTGCTTCCCACTCTGTATTTGGTGAATCCTCTCACTCCCCCTGGCACCGCTGGCTTGTAACCCAGTACCCCAGTTCTGTATGCATAAATAATTTTTTTTTAAAAAAGAATAGTTTCATAATAAAAAAAAAAGTTCTGTATTTTATATTTAAGATTTTTATCTTATGACATCTTTCTCCCCAGTGTGAGGTTAACTGGCTCCTTAAAACAAAATGACACCTAGAACAAACTAAGAACACAATGGGATCTTTCTGCAGCACGATTCACTATGAGTTTTAGCAACATAGGCCTCAATACTCTGTCTTCAACTTTTCCTAAAAAGGGTAAATTTAAACAATTTGAAACCAACTCAAAGGGAAGG